AGTTTGATTTTAAAAAATTTGATATAGTATTTTTTGCACAGACGCTGCTTGCTGAAGATTGGATGAAGGGAACTCTCAACTGGCCGAACTGTTGGGGTTTCAAGGACCAACCGACTGACCATTATATGAGGTTTCAAGCCGGAGGATCGTTTTCCTTATTATATGCAGAAAAGTGCGTAATTTTAGGCCTTTCCAAGTAGCGCTAGAAAAGGAAGTTTCCAAAGCTCTTAAAAATACATACAGTTCAAAAAACTGTATCGAACAGCATAGAGACATTCTCCGCTATCTACAAGATTTCGTGGACGCATATGACGGTGAATGCACGGTTTTTGAACTTGTTCCTCTTTAGTCTAAGCATATAATTCTATGATTTCCAGGGATCCCAAAAATGGGTTGGATTTGGCTTTCGTTACTTGGCCATGATCATGAAAGCGGCGTCATCCGTGCGGATCCCGATTTCCTTCGATTTCTTCTTCACAATAAGAAGAAGGTGTTTGAATTCAAAGCTTATTCTTATTGATCTGTGTGACCATTCTGATTTAGCTCGATGATTCTTTTGTGATCATCCTCGGAGATCATGGGTTACGTGGTGGCAGGGTAAGTTGACTTACCAACTAACCACATATCCTAATCCTTCACGCAAATTTCAAAAACTTTAGGTCACTCACACAGACCTTGGAAGCCTAGAAGTAAACAATCCCCTATTTTCCATCTCTATACCGAAAAAACTACGTAGAGAAACAGACATTCTTAAAACCCTACAGGAGAATGCAGCTCGTCTACAGACACATTTCGACATTCGCGCCACGTTACTCGATATTTTGAAGGTGAGAAGAATAATTTTATTGAGTCTTCAATTACTTCACATTTTAGTACCAACCGAGTGTAAATTACACTGATCGAGAGTACATAGCAATGGAAGGTGAATATGGTTCATCATTGATGAGGAAACAACCAGACGAGGAGAGAACATGCAAAACGTTGTTCATACCTCTTCCCTACTGCACATGTCGTTATCCGGTTAAGGAAGTGAAGAGGTAGACGAATTTCTGTGAAATCATATAAGAAAGCTGACTGACATTTACTCGCACTCGATCTAAGGTGCACAAATAAGAATGGAAACGGAAAAAAGTGGAAAAACAAGAAGAAAATGAAAGAGTTTAAGAAATTTCTCCTTAACTTTATTGGAAGAACTCTACATACGCCCAGCTTAATACAATTACAGAAGCTGGAAGCAAAATGTTGAAAATAGGGACCTTATCAGGCCTCGCCACGGAGCCTCCGATTGCACTCTACGCAAACGAATGAAACTCTTGAAAATCACGAATTTTACAATATCCCCTTTGAGCATGCAAAACTGTAAAAAGTCGAAAAAAATTTCATTACTCTCAAAATTCGTGAAATTTTGCTTCGCCGCTGAGAAAACTGCAAAATTTTACTTTATAAATATTAGTGATTATAATTGCTTTAAGTGATAATGTCACTTTTCCCCTAAGACCAATATTAAGTGATTACGTTATTGACAGCGCTAGTACGTCAACTTCTCCTATCACTATATAACAAGTGGCCGCTTGAGGAAAATTTAGCTTAAAAAGAAGAATCAGACATTATCAGAGCCAATAGTTTTGACAGTCCTTCAATTCCACTCTTAAAACCAGGTAAAAGTACATCTCATCCAAATCTATCCTGGTTATAATGTCCGGCTCCGAATGACAATGGTTTGTGTAAAATGTGTATGCAGCATTACCGCAAGAAAATCTAGGCTCGTAAAATGGTTAACTTGTGAGTGAAGTGTAACACAAGAGTCACATGTGAAAATGAGCAATAAACACATAACGAATAATCATTTCTTCAACGATTTAACATTGGAGGTGTGGAAACAGAAGGAAGAGAATCAAAAGAACTCACTTTTCCGCGTTGTGCTGGCGATAACCTGGAAATATAGATCAGAAGGCAAACAAACAGAACATAGCGAAAAAGAGAAAGAGAAAAAAGGCGAAAAAACTGCAAAAAAGCGTGGGCAGCGCCCACGCTGCACGCGTTGGGGCGCAGCGAGTTCAGTGGAGCGCTTTTTTAAGGGGACCGAACTTTTAAGGCTTTAGCGAAAAAGCAAGAAGCTTGAGCTATGTATGCAACCACTGTTAGCTTAAGGGGTCTACCAAAAGTGTTTGTTAAATGCGCTAAAAAATTGTGTGAAATAAATACATGTATGCTAATCGGAGACCTGAGGTCTCCCATAAGTCTCCGCCGAAGACCTAAATCACAAAAAGGTGCGGCGTTTTTTCATCATAATTTTTCAAAGATTCTTTAAAGATTTCTTTTACTCCTTATTTCGCATCTTTGATCCAATTTTGGTGGCTGTTCATTGCCTATTCGCTTAGAAAAACGGGTTTGCACGGTT